ATGAAAGTTCATAATAACCCATTGCACATTTTATAAAGATCTAGAAGAGAGGACCCCCAAAGCTCCAGACAGGAAATGATAAGGAAGTGTACCCTGAAGAACCCCATAGCATGTTAATGAGAAGGGAGTCCAGGATGAGATGAGGCAGAATGAATGCAGAGGAAGCCATGTCTGAGAAGGGGTAGTTGAGAAGCTGAATAGGTAGGAGTTTGTGGTTAACTAGAAGAGAGGGGGGAGGAGTCCAGAATAACTTCAGGTTTCTGGCCAGGTAAGGAGCAATGTGAACACTCCTGGTTCAAAAGGGCAGCCTGGGCATTAAGACCACATTTATTTCTTTTTCAGCTTTAGGGCCTGGAGAGACAGCTCAGTAAAGTGCTTGCTGTGTTTGCATAAGGACCTGGGTTTAGGTCCTTACTACCCACATCAAGAACAGGGCCTAGCGACACGTTGGTTAGCTCTCATGCTAATGTACAGACAGGTCCCGAGAGCTGGCAGGCAGCCCAGCCTAGCCACTCAGCACCAGGTTCAGGGAGACAACTTGCCTCAATAATAACATGGAGGGAAGCTGAGGCTGACACCTGATGTCAACACATCAGCTTCTGACCTTTCAGCCTCTGCATGCTGTTGTGCATACCCTAACACGCTTGCATGCACACACATGCCACACCATGGCCTATTCAGATTGCAAGATGTGTGACGTTAAAATAATAGAAGAAAAGAAAATGTTAATGGAATTCCCTAAGACAGAACAAAAAGGCAAAAACATGGCACATATGTAAGAACGTCAGGATGTGGGGGCATGTCGGGTCTGATGCCTGCATGACGCGACTTTGAGAAAGACACAGGAGAGAAATAACTGAAGACAGAGGGGTCACACTGCTATAGTAACACTGTGATCCCACCATTAAAAGCTCAATTAAAAAAATAAAGATGCAGAAGAAAAAAGTGTTTCCTGAGATTAAAGCAAAATAATATTTAGACCGTGAAGACCTACTGTGTCCTAAGCTGGAGAAAGTAGATGGGGAGAAGTTGGGTGAGCCTGGTTTGAAAGTATCTTAGGATACAAGGATAAAATTCTGCCCATTATCTGATGTATGAAATGGAAGTTTTAGGTTTAAGACCCATCCAAGGACTTTTGGAGAGGGAAAGGGGAGCCAAGGAAGGGATAGGACAGGAGAGGACACCAGGAGCAAATAAAACAGCTGGGGTGTTTTTCTGCTTCCGGGAAATGTCTTCACTGTTGTCTTCCAGGGAGAATCAATCTAGCACCCTGGGCTCCCATGGGCAAAACTGTTCTTCACTCAAAGCATAATTCATCTTGTGGCTGAAATGGAAAAAATTCCTGGGAAAACAGGATGGTGGCTCTACTACTCAAATGAGTCCATTTTCAGGTGGAAATCAAATCTTCATTCTCCATGAAACAACCTGTCTCTCCACTTCCAAACCACTTAGAAACAAATGGCATGTCTAATGATGGAAGATGACCTGATAGTCTCACTGCCTGCTTAGTTTGTTGGGGGTGGGAGTAGGGATTTGGGGTGAGGGAAGCAGTAAAGGAGAAAGAGAAAATGGAGAGTAGGTGAGACATAAGGGACAGGAACATGGTCCAGTTATTGCTCCCAGCTTACCGTGGTGGGTGGTCCCCATGTAGAATGCCAACTGAGCTTTTGAGAGAGGACAAAGACTAGGAAAAATGCAAGTTTGATGAATTAGGATGTTACTACTTCTCTGAACGAAGCCTGCTCCTTCTGATTTTATCTCACCTTTCTAGGGCCCATAGATGAATTGGCCTTTGGATCAGAAGGTGATTAATAATGTGCATGCCTGCAGACATTCATAGAGATGAGACTTGTGTGTATGTCAGTGCCTCAGCTTCTCTCTCTCTCTCTCTCTCTGTGTCTCTCTGTCTTTGTCTCTCTGTCTCTGTCTCTCTCTCTCTCTCACGCACACACACACACACACACACACACACACACACTTTGCTTTTCCTCCCCTTGAGACAGAGCCTTGTTATGTAGCCCAGACTGGCCAGGAATTCTCTATGTAACCCAGATTGGCCTCAAATTTCTGATCCTCTTGCCTTAGTCCTCAAAGTGCTAGTATTACATGTGTGCACCACCAGATTTTACTTTGTTTACCTTGTTTCTTTTATTTAAAAAATAATATTTTTAAAAATATTTTTATTTGTGAGTATGTTTTTTCCTGTATTTATGTATGTGCCTCAGGTCCCTTGGAACTGGAGTTAGAGACAGTTACAATTTGTTGTGTGGATGCTGGGAATTGAACCTGGGTCCTCCGGAAAATCAGGCAGTGCTTTTAACCACTGAGCCATCTCTCCAGCTGTAAACCCTATTTCTTAACAACCATGTTTAATTTATTCTTCCTCCTCCCCAGCTCTCCTCACTCTTACCCTAAGATCACACAAAAAATATCCCATTGCTGACTCTCTCTGGGGGCCTGCGGAAGGGCCAGAGTAGGAGCCTCAGCAAGGAGGGGACAGAGAGGGATAGCTTTCCCTGGCTGGAAGAAACAGGTATTATCTGCCTAGATGACTAGAGAACTCTGGAGCCCTGGCAGCCCTGGGGTAGGTGTGGACACCCACACACCTTCAGGTGGAGGGGCACAGCCTTTCCCTCTGCCTAGTAGCAGGACCAGTTCCCCCACAAACCAACCCTGTAGAAAATAACCCCCCTTTCTAGTGTGCTGTCCCTTCTGCCACTGCCACTATGTTCAAGGGGTTAGCGACTGTCCATTAACTCCAGAGAGCTGATTTTTGCCAGTGCCGCACCAACAGCTGAGAGCCAGGGAGCGCTGACGTGGGGAAGGGGGGGCTGGTCCCCCACCATGGCTAGGCACTCAGGGAAAGTCAGGGAGGTCACTGGCATGGCTTACTCAGCTCTACCGAGTGCCAATTAGCTAAGGTTTTTCTGAGCATTGGCCGTGCCTGCCACAGTTGAGGGAAAATGATTGTAAGAGAAGCTTTTTTTTTTTTAAATAAAATAGAATCCTCTCCACAAGGAAGGATCTTTCTCTGCTGTTTCTTCTTCCAGTTTTCCCAGGAGAGAGATCCCAGCCAGCCAGGTTCTCTGGGAAGAGAGCCACAAGACCCTGGCCCACTACTCCTGGGTGGGGTAAGTTTCTGGCCTCTTGGCTTAGAGGTTAAGGTCCCACCGCCTTGTCACTCTCTATATGCTGTGACTTCCCTGAGAAATGAGGAAAGCAGGAATGTCAAATGTGCAAGTGGCCTGTCTGCTTCTTCTCGCTTTCTTCTGTTCCATTCATAAAATCCACTTCATCACAGAAAGGCAATATCACACCAGGACATTGAAAGTGGTCCCCTGTATCCAAGAATAACTACGAGGTCTGTGGTGATGGAAAGCCTCAAGGAGCTAGGCGTCTTAGATCTCATCTGTTTCCAGTCTCTCCTATTATGGGTAAGAAAACCGCAGGGAAAGCATCGGGCTGGGACAGTCAGAGGCAGACCTGGAACCAAACACAGGGCCCCTGATTTCCAGTCAAACACTTCGACTGGTACATTTTCACAGTCCATCCCTTGCTTTTACACCCAGTTACTGAGTCCTTACTATCTTCCAGGTGCTGTGGGGGAGGGGGTGTGGAGGGAAGCAAAGAGATGAAAACAACACAATCCTTGCCTTCAAGGAGCTATTTTCCCTAGAGCTGTGATTCCTGGGGAAATATAAAAACAAAAACAGTGAGTCAGGCTCTTGCCCTATATTATCTTCTATAGGTGTTGATGGAGGAAGGGGGCCGGAAGTCCTTTTAAATTTCCTAAAGATTTATTAAGTTTAGCTTCACTGTCTCTTGGACCCTTTGGAGGCTTCGGGCAGAAGGAGCCATGGCTAGACTGCAGAGGGGGTGAAGATGACAGTGACCAGGTCATTGTCGACAGGCCTGACCAGGGCATGTGGACTGAGAGTAGCTCACTGTGGAGACGTGGCTCCGATGAATTCCGTTTCTTCATGGGATCTCAAGACGGTTCCCTGAGGGAGGCAGATGCTCAGAGTTCTTACCCTCACTGTAGGGATTGGGAAAATGAGGTTTAAGAGCTTGGGTAACTGATGCCGGAGATTGGAAGCTGCCAACCAGGGCTTTTTCTACTCTTGAGGGTAGGAAATTGAGCTGGGTTGGAGGGTGGCAAGGAAGCAGTGTGAAACCAGGGGTCGGCCACAGCCGCCAGCTAGTCCTCCTCTGCGCAGGTTTATGTTCATCTGCCCATTCTGCCACTCAACAGAAGTCTGTGCCCAAGAACTGGATGCACTTTGCAGGCCTGAATGAGCTCATTCAACACACACTTGCCAGGAGAGAGGGAGAACTCCAAATGGAGGCTCGGTCCAGGGTCATCAGCATTCAGGCATAGAACAGAAAACCAGAACCAGGTTCCCTACTCTGTCCTCCTGAACCAAGCAAAACTGGCCCCCTTTCATGAGCAAGAAGGCCACAGGTACCTTTTGGTACCAATTCTTTCCTCAGAGAAATGGATTAAACAGTCCTGAGGAGATAGATACCCCCCCACTTCCTTGTTCCAAGGGCTATTTCCAGGGCAAAGAAATCTAAGAGCAAAGAGATCACAGCCTCTCCAGTCCCCCTGGTGACCAGGTTTGGGTAGGAGAGACTCGCTGAGTGAAGCTTACTTAGATTTTACCAATGTCATGGAATCTTGGTGGAAACTGGGGTACCAGGGAGTCCTGGAGACTCGCACCAGTAGGCAAGGTGTCTCAGAGCTGTCTCAGGTCGGAGTCAAGGCCTGTTGGTACAGGGTCAAGGTGCCCAGGTGCCTAGTCCAGTCCGGGTCCCTCAAGTCCCTCCTAGCGTCGCCCTGCAAGGAGGTAAGGAGTGGGGATAGACCTATTCAGAGCTCTGAAGGAGCTCAAGGACCTGTCGCGGCTTGGAGCTCATCACTGGGAGGGCTCCCCCAGCTCTTCCCAGCTCACTAGGTGCCTAGCTCTGCGCTCCTGCTGTGCCCCCAGACGGCTCCTTACCTGTCGCGCTGCGGACTGTCCCGCCTCCTCGTGGGGCTCGGGGACCGGGCATGGGCCGGCAAGCGACGGCGTCCCCGCCTGGCAGCCGCGGTGGAGCTTCCAGGAGAGCTCCCTGCTCCCGGCCCGCGTCCCTGCCGCTGTCGCCGCCGCTGCTTCAGCACCGCGGACAGCTCCCGCCCGCCCGCCACCGCCCCGCGCGCCGGGCACGGTCCCGGGAGCCCCGCATCCCGGCCCCGCCGCCGCTCAGCGCTCAGCCCGGCCCGAGGCGTCTCCGCGCAGACTTGAGGGAGAGGCGAGGAGGGTCCCCGTCTCCCCGCCTCCCACCGCCACCGCCTCCCTCTCGCCTCCGTGCTCCGTGCTCCCTTCCCCGCTTCAGAATCAGCCCACCAGGCACTCCGGACCCAGCTCCCGGGAGGGGCGGGGCGGGGCGGGGCGGGAAGTCGGGGAGCCCGGAGGAGACGGCGGCGGCGTGAGGGGCGCGCAGCTGGAACCGGCTTTTCTGCTTCCTGGGGCCAAACCCTCTACTCCAGCCCTTCTCCCCTGTCTCCTCCCGTGCACCCCAGAAACGATGCATGCTGCCCTTGGGCTTCTTAGAGCATTTTCGAGTTCCTAGGCTCCCAAGCTCTGAGTTCTAATTATCGATCAGCCCTAAAAGGAGTAACAAACAAAAAAGCATTTATTGAATGCCTATTAAATGCCAGACACCATGCCAGGTTATTTATTTATTTAGCCAAAGTAAGCTCGTTTAATTTCCTTAACAATTTACTAGACACTCTCTGTCTCCCAGATATGGATGAGGATGCTGAGTTTAACACAGCTTAAATCTCTGGATTTGGCGGTATCGGCTCTGTGTTGGGAAGTATATGGGCTTCAAAGCCCATGGGTCCAAGTTTTGGTGACAGCTTGTCCCACTCACTGTGTGACCTGGAGGAAGTTACCAAACCTGTCAAATCCTCCAGGCAGAACCCACCTATGAGGGGTCATGTAAGGACATATGTGACACATTGGCATCCAATAGGCCCAGTGGGCGAGCGGTCTCTGCAGTTCTCCCAGGGGGGAGCCTGAAATCTGACCACAGGGCTCTGGCTGCTGTGTGTTCACCTCTATGCAGCTCTTTTTCTGTGCCCCCATTTCTGTTTCTCTTTTATTTAAAATGGGGATAGCTCTCCCGGGAGGGCAGTGAATGGATAAAGATATTTTTCATGTCCTCCCCTCTGTTCATGACAATGCCTTGAGATTGTTTGTGGTACCCAGAGATCAGAAGAAAAATACATTCTCATCAAAGGAAGGTAAGTAGGGACAAGAAGGAAACTCCACAGCAGGGGTGGCTGGAGGACCCTGGGAACCAAAGTCTGTAGTGATCCCTCCTATAACCTCCAAGGAAGCCACAGGACCCTGAATGGTGAGACATGGGATATCTAAAGAAGTTCTCTTTAGCTCCCAGCATGAGGAGAAAGGGCCAAGATCTGGCCCCATCATTAATAAGGGGATTGGGTCTCATTCCCTTCAAACTGGGCAGAGAGCTCTCTTGACCAGTGGTCCTGTCTTAAGTCTGGTATTAGTGGCTAGCTTCCTTCTCCTGACTCCGCCCACTAGAGTTATGCAAGGAGGCTGTTGGACCACCCATATGCATCCCTCCCTAAGGCATCTCCTGTGTCACTTTGGTCACTTCTAGTCTCCCTATCATAGGAGTGTAGGCCCCCCCCCACTTGGCTGGCTTTGGCCTCCCTCTACTTGTCCCCTCCCCACCCTGGATTTGCTGGCTGCCTGGGGTACTTACTGAATTACTAATTGGAAGGGTAATAATAATAATAATAAAGTCAGTGAAGCAAAAGCAGCATATAAATTTCAAACACTAACATTAGTAATTATGTGCTGTTGTCTGGAGGGAAGGCTTTGGTTGGTGGTGTGTCAAGGGCCATGACCTGGGCTCCAGGAAACCTTAGGTGCTGGGCTTGCTTTGTCACTGACTGCAAGTGCAGGCCGTTGCCTAATTTTCCTGGACCTTTACTTCCGTAGAATTCTAAACCCCTGTGTAGCTTTGAAGTAACTGTAAGGAAAATCAGCATTGTATGAAATTTGTAACCAGGAACAGTTGGCTAATGCAGCAATAAGAACTTCTAGGGAAATTACCTTTTACTGCCCACAAGGTTTAGGTGGGACTGAGTCTATACCTCTGGAAGTCTCCATTGGATTTTTCTATTTCCTCTCCATGCCCCTCCTTCCTTTTGCCATCATGCAACGTGATGAAGTTCAGCACCCGAGAATATAAAATATAAAAGCCCAACTCCAGGCCTTTGAAGGAGCCACAGTGAAGGGCTTTAGAAAGACAGACATGTTGGGCAGTAATTTGACACATGGAGATAAATGCTATCATGAAGTATATGAAAAGTGCTCTCTGTCTGGGGAAGTTCTAGGAGGCTTCCTGGAGGCAGTGACATTTGAGCCGAGTTTTATTAAAGAATGAGACGTTCTCAGGGCTGGCTAGGAAGGCTGGAGTCAGACAGGAAAATGATAGCCCACCAAAGAGAAGATGAGAATTTGCACAAGGCTAAGTCAGCAGGATGGGGAGCGAGGAATGGGATATGATACTAGAGCAGAAAGAAGCAGCTGACTGTGGAAGGACATGGGAGTCAAGAAATACCAGTGGGCTTCCTGCCTCTGGGGAGTTGGTGCATTCTGCCAGAGAGGCTCAGAAGGGTAGCAAACTCTAGGAATACTAGATGATGCTTCAGTGTGCTATCCATCCCAGAAGGTTTTCACTGTCATTTTAATTCATTCTCTTTTTATTTTTATCTATCATCTATCTATCTATCTATCTATCTATCTATCTATCTACCTACCTACCTGTCTATTTATCTACCTAATTTTTGGTTTTTCAAGACAGGGTTTCTCTATGTAACCTTGGTTATCTTGGAACTCACTCTATAGACCAGGCTGGCTTTGAACTCACAGAGATCCACCTGTCTCTGCCTCCAGAGTGCTTGAATGAAAGCTGTGCACCACTATGCCTGGTGATTCCCTCTCTCTTGAGATCCAAGAAAATTTATTTAAGCTAATACCTTTGGCTGAGGAGAAAGCTCAGCAGGTTAAATGCTTGCTGTGTAAGTATAAGAACTTAAATTTGGATCCTCAGAACCAGAATAAAAAGCTCCTTATGACAGCCTATATCTCTAATCCCAGACCTGGGAGCTAGAAACTGGAGGATCCTGGCAAGAATGGTGGTGGGGACTCATTGACCGGTCAGTCTAACCAGGTTCAATGAGAGACTGAAAAAAAAAGAAGGAAGGAAGGAAAATGTGGAATGTGATAGAGATATCTAACATTAATATCTGTGGTCTCTTTAGACATACATGCCTGCACATGCATGCACACACACATACACACATGCCACCACCACCACCACACTTCCACCACCAACCACCTGCCTTTCCTATTTATCTCATCTCCATGGAAAGGTCCTGGTGTAAGTTGGGAGAGGTGAGTGGGGCAGAAGAGCTCTGGAAGTCTGTGGGAGGTGTGAGCAGATGTCCTCACTGGGGTGGAGCAAGGTCCCTAGGAAGAGACAGAGCAGTCACAGAGTGGACATCTGGGAGGAGATGGCCCTGTGCCCTGTTTTCCTCCCACCCCTCTGACAGTCCCAGGAGAAACGCAACACTGTTGGGTTCTGAGTCTGTTGGAGTCAGCTAATCTCTTTCCACCTGGGGACTTCCTTTCATAAGCGTTTTCATGCATAAATGCTAAGTTCTTTTTACAGGGGGGTGATATCTCCTCACCGGCTCCCTAGGGAATGTAAATCAGCACCAAATGTAGGGAGACCTGCTTCACTTGCTCTCCAATAAACCACACGTTTAAGGAAATGCACCCCTAAGGGGAAACACAAGCCTGGCCTCTGCCCAATGAGTTTAGCTCCTCCTAGATAAGGAGCTATCTTCATGGTCAAGGCTGTGTGTGTCCTACAGGCCCTGGATGATGAGAAGGACAGGCTGGAAGAGGACAAGAACAATGGGCATCGGGCTGCCCATTGGCCAAGTTCTGTGCCCCTGGAATGGTTCCAGAAGGACAGGTCTCCTAAGAGGTACACTTGTAGGTGCAATCAGGTAGTTGGAACTAATTCTTGACTCTGGACTCAATAGAGGAAACTGGCAGCCCTCACCGCTCCCAGAGTCAGGTCCTGTGGTTAGAAGCAGACACCCTAGCAACTGTGTCTGAAGCTTGTCATTTAAACCTCTCATTCGGGGGCTTTATAAGTATGATCCCAGCTGCTCACTTCCTCTCTCCATGGGAGATCATAAAGCTGAAGATGAGGCCATTTCTTTAGAACCACGCTGATTCATTACAGGGAAAGATGGTGGGGGTTGATTCTCAGTCCCAGATCTGCCCAGCCCCCCACTGTCCAGCCAAGCAGTGCTCACTGGGGAAGGGAGTGCATGAGGCAGTGCAACTCTGCAAAGCCAGAGAGGCGCATAGTGTGCAGTCACAGAGCCACCGCCACAGCCTGCACAGCTCAGACCTCCAGCGCTCTCTCTGCCATCCGCAGGCCGCCTCGGGCTATGGAAGCATTTGTTCACTGGCAGAGAAGATGCACTGTTGGCACTCTCTCACTTTTGCAAAGCAGAGATGTCTGTATGAGGGTGCTCACTGGGTGGAATGATCAGCCAGCAGCTGACCGAAAGAAGCCCCGGCAGGATGAAAGCATACAGGAGAGCAGAAAGGCTTCCGAGTTGCTTTGCGCTCTGCGGTTTGAGGAGCATCTGCTCAGCCACTAGCTCCTTTGATTCTCATCGACATGCAACACTGACGATGTATACATGAGGCCAACAAGTTCCAGAAGTTAGTCCCTACTTGGAAAAATAATCGAGATCAATACCAAGCTAAAGGAGAAGAAATGAAATGCATTTGTGGCTCCCCTCCCCCACCCTGAAGTCAGAGCCCGACTGCAGAAGTCTTTGACTTGACTGACAGCCCTCTTTGCCTTGGCCTTGAGTAATGCTGAGTGGACCTCAAACTCCTCTCCTAAAAGACCTGACTGAAACCCTCAGAAGGGCTGACACTCAGAGAAGCCAGGGCTGCTACTGTGTGTATGAGTGCATGTGCAAGTGTGCATGTGTGTGTGTTTCTGTATGTATGCATGTGCATGATGCATGTGTGTACATGTATGTATGTGTACGTGTGTGTGCATGTG